AATATAAAAATGTTTGTCATGATCATGTCTTGTGTTTATTTGACAGGAGTTTTACTTTTAAACTGTAAGTGTATTTAATTTAGGTATTTTAGTTAAGATGTAAAAATAATAAAAATTAAATCAAGATTTAGATTAGAATAATTACCATTTTGATCCATACAATGGTAAAATCTGACTGGGCCTCGTGCCACTTTATGTTCAACAAATTGGGCCCTGAGGTCAAAAAGGTTAAGAACCTGTGGTCTAAGAGATTACTGTMTCTTCTTTCTCATTTATTCTGTTATGTTGTTCATTATAATGAATCTATAATGTCCATTTAACAATAACCAAAGAGCGAAAAAAGCTTATTTATGCTATAGTCTGTTGTCTGTGTGTGCAGGTGGAGAACTTCACCGTTTGTTTCTCTGATGGTCGCGTCCTCTGTTGCCTCATTCACCACTAYCATCCCAGCCTCCTGCCGGAAGGATCCATCAGTTTCAGGACCACCCAGACCGTGGAGTGCTCCCCCAGGGGCCGAGTGGAACTGAACTGTTCGGGCAGCGACTCRGACAGCTCCATTGCCTCCACGCCAGCGGGCACCAACGGTACGTGTCTGCTTTGTTTGTTTTGGATGCAAGATTTAAAATGTTTCGTTTTACATCAGGCATTTGTGAGACATTTAAACTGATAAAGGGAGTAAAAAGTCTAGTTTATGAAAACATTTTCCCCAAAAATGTACAAAACTATACTTSGTTCACCAACAATCATCTTGTAACACTTAAAGGAAATTCAMGTGTTGTGTAAAATGTAAATAATGRCATTTTTCTTACTTTTCCAAACRGGCTCAGATTGTCCATCTGTGGTTTTTAAAGAGCTGCTGGAAAACGAGAAAAACAACTTCAGGCTGGTGAACACTGCTGTGGCTTACCTGGGGGGAGTTCCAGCCATGATCAACCCTGCAGACATGTCCAACACCATCCCCAGTGAGAAGGTGAGACCACTGACTGAGGGTGTTTTTGTAACGAAATGAATCGTGTTCAAACGATTTTAATATTTTATACTTTTAGTGTTTCATCCTTTTTTTTGAAACCTTTTAACCAATCAGCATTCACAGATTTTTTTTTTTGTTTTTGTTTTTGTGTCGATCAGAAATGTCATTGAAATGTTTTATCAAGTGTTTTTAACTTGGTGAGAGTAAAAAAAGGGTTTGTATCGGTTTCCCTCCAGGTTGTGATGTCCTACCTGTCCTTCCTCTGTGCTCGTCTCTTGGACCTTCGGAACGAAACCCGAGCAGCTCGAGTCATTCAGGCTGCGTGGAGGAAATACAARCTGAAGGAAGACCTGCTGCTCTATGAGGTGAAGACTTCTTTAAAAATTATTTTAGAATTCAAAGAAATATCATCTTTGTTGTGTGTTTGAACAGCGATGCCCCCAGAAATGTTGGTTCATGCAGGGTCTTAAAAAGTCTAAAATTTGAAAACATAAATTTTGGGCCTAAAAAGCCTTAAAAAACACCCAGATTTTCATCCAAGGTCTTAAATTWAATTTTGTCTTAATGTCTTTTACTTTCGATCATTTTCTGAGAAGCGTTGGCTGCATAAATAAACACGGTAAATTGCTGTAATCAGAGGGTGATGYGATCTGTCTTCACGAAGTACTAATTTTTTTTTCCGGTCTTGGTACGTGGTTACGTACTGATGGTTCATATTCTGTGTCACCAACGCTGACCCACATGGTCACGTGCACAATGTTTTTTTGGCGTAACCAAATTTTTTGTGGGGGGCCCATCCGGGATTGCACCAAAAAGCTAGAACAGAATTTCAGGAGCTTTGTCGTGTAAAGTTTTTTTTTTTTAAACAAATCCTCTGTTGATGTACATGGATCTGCTTTAGTTAATTTTAATTTTTTCATTAAATCTGTATCACATAAGTGAAAATCAAACACAGTTGGACCTATGCTATAAACAAAGCAAAGGTGCTAAAAGCAAAAAACAAAAGTTGTAAAAACAAACTCATTCCTTAAAGTGAGAATACTGGATCAGTTGTATGGCTTGAAGATCAAAATGTGTACAATGTGTTAAAAAAATTGCTCACCATATCAGCTGTAACTTGTACAACTTTTAAAAAGGAGTTGCTCTTTGAAATTTTCGCAGTTTCTTTTATTGATGGAATACTATCAGTAACAGATATTTCTCGGTTACTGACTGGATACAGGAAAGAAATAAGGCRGCTGTGAAGATCCAGGTGGTGGTGAGAAGTTTCCTTCAGAAGCGTCGAGCTGAGAGGCAGAGTCGAGCCGCTGTACTCATCCAGTCATTCTGGAGGGGTTTTGCAGCACGACGCTCRCTGAGGCTGAAAAAAGAGGCTCTGCTTCGGGCCGTGCACCACAAAGCAGCAACTGTCATTCAGGTAGGTGAAAAGTGTACAAGGTGTTTTTTATTTTAAAGGTCATTTTAAGACTGAATTCTAGCTTTGAGATAAATAACTTGTCAATGATGTAATTAGACGTGTCAGATGTTTATTTACCTCTTTGTATTTGTTGGTCTGATTTGGACATTTCATGATGACAGTTTGTGTTCTCTTGTCTACAGGCTCAGTGGAGGATGTTCTCCACCTTGAGGTCTTACCAGCGTCTCAGGTATTACACCATAGTAGTTCAAGCAGAGTGGAGGATGAGGAGGGCTGCCATCGCTTACGGAAAAATCTACMAGGCAGCCACAGTCATTCAGATGTACGCTCGAGCTCACGCTCTCTCAAGAAGAGATCGAGAGCATTATCTCCTCCTTAAAACGTCAGCGGTGAAACTACAGAGGGCGTACAGGAGGTGGAAAGCTCAGAAAACACAAAGGGAAAACCATGCTGCCGGAGTGATACAAGCCGCTTTCAAAAAGTGGTCCAAGAAACGACTGGCTCAGAGATCTGCCGCTGCTGTAACAATTCAGTCTTGGTACAGAATGCAGCTGTGTTTCCACCGATACAGAAAGCTCAAGAGAAGCAGCGCGTTCCTTCAAGCTCACTTCCGAAGCCTCCARCAGAGGCGCCGCCTTCAGATGCTGAAGCTGCGGCACCGCTCCGCTCTCGTCATCCAGAGGGCCTTCAGAGGGCACGCCGTCAGAAAACGGCTCGCGACGCGGCGACATGCCGCTGCGACGATCCAGCGCCGGTGGAGAGCGTCTRCGAAAAGAGACGTCGAAAGAGGGAGGTTTCTCAGGCTGAGGCGTGCCGCCGTCACCCTACAGGCGGCTTACCGAGGACGAGCCGCTCGAGGGCTGCTGAAACGGCGACACGAGGCGGCAACGGCGATCCAGGCAGCTTTTAGGAAACGCGCCGCTCAAAGGCGGTACCTTGTCCTGAGAAAGGCTGCGGTTGTGATACAGCAGAGGTACAGAGCTGCAGTTACTGCTCGTAAAGCGAAGGAGGAGTACGATGCTTTTAAGAGGGCTGCTCTGCTTCTACAAGCAAACTGGAGAGGCAGAGCRGAAAGGAAGAGGATAGAAATTTGGCGTCAGTGTGCAACCCTCATCCAGACTTATTATCGTCGACACAAAGCTCAAGCGGAGTACAGATCCAAGAAAGCAGCTGCTGTCGTCATACAGCGTCATTACAGGGCTTTCTTGACTGGAAATGAGATAAGAAWAGCATTTATACAGAAGAAAACGGCCTGCATGGCTCTCCAAGCTGCATTCAGGGGCATGAGGGTTAGAACGGAGCTAAGAGAGAAGCACCAGGCTGCAACAATCATTCAGTCTGTGGTTAGGATGTTTTTATGCAGAAAGCGATACRTTCTGCTCCAGAGCGCAGCGATCATCATCCAGTGCAGATACAGAGCTCTTCTCCTCTACAGGGAGCAGCGAAGCCRGTTCAGGGAGCTAAAGGAAGCCTCCTTAAAGATCCAAGCCGTGTTMCGTGGATTCGCAGCGAGGAGAGAGCTGAGGAGGAGACGCGACGCCGCCCGAGTAATCCAAGCTCGGTTCAGGATGCGCAGGATTCGCACGGCTTACCTGGCCACCAAGCTTGCTGCCATTATCATCCAGCGGCGCTACAGGGCTAACGTGCTCAGGGACGAACAGGTGCGGAGGTACAGAGCAATGAGTTCTGCAGCCGCGGTCATCCAGGCGGCATACCGTGGGCTCAAGGTCAGGAGGAGGATCGCAGAGATGCAACGAGCTGCCACAATCCTGCAGAGGAAGTTTTTGACCATTCGAGCTAGAAGGCAGTTCTTAGCTATCAAGGCAGCAGCTTTGACTTGCCAGCAGAGGTACAGGGCAACAACCCTGGCGAAGGAACTCCGACAAGACTATTTGTCAAAGCGCAGAGCAGTGSTTTGTCTTCAGGCTGCCTGCAGAGGACACGCAGCTAGAAAGCAGCTGCGCATCAGACTGATGGCAGCTGTAACCATTCAGGCTCACTTCAGGAGGTACCAACAGAGAACCAACTACAGACGACTCCTCTGGGCTTGCAATGTGTTGCAGGAACGTTACAGAGCAAACCAAAAAATGAGAGCAGAGGTGCAAGCGCTGAGTACCAAGAAAAACGCTGCTGTTGTTTTACAAGCTGCCTTCCGTGGAATGAAATCAAGACAGACGTTAAAACAAAAACATCAATCCGCCACTRTTATTCAGAGAACTTTTAGATCCCACCGTGAACACAAGCAGTATCTTGCCCTAAAGTCTTGTGTCCTCAAAGTTCAGCACAGATACCGAGCCAATAGAGCTGCAAGTAAACAAAAGAAACAATATGAACAATTACAAAGAGCAACAATCGTTATTCAGGGAGCCTACAGAGGACACAAAGTCAGGAAGGAGGTTGTTCTTTGGCATCAGGCTGCGACTGTGATCCAATCTGTGTTCAGAAAACACAAAGAGCGAGTCAAGTTTCAGGCAATGAGACTGTCCACCATCATCATCCAGAGACGCTACCGTGCCTGTGTGCTTCAGAGGAGAGCCAGAGAACACTTCCTGACAATAAAACAGTCTGCTGTTGTTCTTCAGGCAGCGTTTAGAGCTCATCGTGTCAGGACTGAAGTGACAAAGATGCACAGAGCAGCTACAGTCATCCAGGCAGGCTTCAGACGACACAAACAGCAGGCGGCCTTCAGGAGACAACGCTGGGCAGCTGGTGTCTTACAGCAGAGGTTTAGAGCTCAGAGACAGAAACAAGTGGAGGTAAAACATTACCAGGGGGTCAGAAAGGCAGCCGTTCTCCTGCAGGCTGCATATCGAGGAATGAAATCCAGACAAATCATCCAACAAAGACATCGGGCTGCCAGAATAATACAGAGATCTTATCGATCCCACTGCGAACACAAGAACTATCTTACTCTAAAATCATCTGTTCTGATCATACAGAGGAGATATCGGACCAAAGTATCAGCTAAAAACCAGAAAAGACAATATGAACAATTACGAAAAGCAACAATCATTCTTCAGGCAGCCTACAGAGGACACAAAGTCAGGAAGGAGGTTGTTCGTTGGCATCAGGCTGCAACTGTGATCCAATCTGCGTTC